AACAAAGTCAGGGGTAGCCCTGTGGCTGCTCTGGCATTCGATCCAAAGTTTAATAAAACGTGCCAGACCCCAAAGTGATCACCTTAACATTAAATAAAAAAAAACAATTAAAAAAATGTGGAACTATTGTAAAGCACTATGACAATTTGATGGATAAAGAAATACAACAAATATTTTAATATAATTTAGTTTCTATCAACAATCCTCAAAATTTACAATATTGTATTTTTATATAGTGTTGTTTACTGTTTCAACCCAGAGAGAGGAACATTATTTATTTAAAATATTTCAGTTTGTTTTTACATTGAATAGTGAATTATGATTTACTAAATATTCTTAAAAGAACGATCAGGGTGGTATTAAAAGTAATAATACAGGTTTAATAATTCCTGTACTATATGATTCTGCAGATTTTCAAGGACCAATTCATGATTTTAAGCTTTATATTTCAAAACATTCTAATAATTGTCAAAGTTCTTATTTACATCTTCAATTAATAATAAATTTGCATGTAAGAATTATTAAATTATATATTTATATTATAATTTTATTTATATTATTATTAAATTTAGATGATTTAGAAGAATCTTAATATTGTGATAAAAGACTTGGTGAAAAGTTATATCAAACATTTATGAAAAACATCTGCAATATTGTTGGTATCGATACCAATAATCAAAGTATTACAAACCATTCTGGACAATCTACTTCAATTACTGCTTTATTTAGATAAGAAGTTCTAATAGTAATAACAATAGCAATTACAGATCATAAAAGTGAATCCTCTTATTGAGTTTATGCAAAACCTTTCAGAAAAGACAAAGAAGATGCATTATCAAGCTTGATTAATAATATTGAGCTACCTTTGAAGCAAGATAATGTAAGTATTATATCATATCAATTTACATAAAAATTATAATTAAATATTAAAATTTTTATGTATAAAACCAGAATCATCTTAAAAATTTATCACCTACTCATAATGATGCTCAAGATAATCAAGTGAAGCCTCTAGAATTGAAGGTATTTATATTATTGATAATTTATAAACAATAATAATATGTAATATATGATTTTTTTTATTTTAGATTAATTCAAATTTGGTAACAAGATTAGCTAATAAAGTATTAAACGAATCAACCAGAAAATGGAAATCTGTAACAAAGCCTTTTCATATACCACTAAAAGATCTCACCAACCAATAGAACAGCAAAAATCCTATGAATATAATTACCAAACTGCTGAAGATAGAATAGATGGAAATGTAATCATAAAAAATTATTATATTACTGCAGATAAAGTTATGATCAATTAATATACATATTATTTAAATAGCATCTTATATAATATCAAATAATAATTGGTGACGCAAATCACTAACTCTTCCCGACGATCACTTGTACCAAGTTTTCTCTAAAAACAATTGCATTTTTCTCAATATT